TTCGGCTTGCCTCCACGCCCGCCCCAGCCCACCCGCACATCCAATCTCCCACATGCTTGGCCATTTTCGCCAGCACCACGGACTCGTCCTCCACGATCCGAGCCAGGGGCAAGACCCCGAGGGAGAGGAAGGAAATCGTCGGGTTGAACACGAATGCGCCCACCCACATGTTTCGGAGAGTCTTGAGGAAAACGCCCGGGGCCTGGGACTGAACGAACTGGGAGCTGCTCTCGAAGCCACTCACGCCCAAAATTGCGGAGGTGTAGCCGAAAAAAATCGCCGTCGCAAAGGATCCCGAGCGGATCACTCCACCAAGTTCAACATCCGGGTAGGGTGCCCGGAAATTTTCGCGAAGAGTGGAAGGGTCCGCAACCACGTAGACCATAGAGCAGGCACAAAGCAAAGTCAAGGTGAGGATGTGAATCCAGAAGATGACTTGGGCGACGCCTGCGCTTTCCTTTATCCCGAGGAAAACCAGGACGGCAAATAGGAAGAGCAGACCCAGGATGGCAAGTAAGGGGTTCGGCACCGACACTACCTTCTTCAGGTAATCGACAGCGCTCGTGGCCGAGACTACCCCCGTGGCAATGTAGGACACTAGAGCCAGGGTGGCGGCGGAGGATGCGATGCCTTTGCTGGTGCTGTTCAAAAGCACGTTAAAAGAACCGCCGTTCATGGGAAGGGCGGTGATGGCCTCAGCGTACAGAAACCTGGCGTGAAGAAAGGGATGGTACAGAATTAACCACGAGCTTTCATGAGCCGCTGCCGCCTCGTTTCAATCAATCAAAGACCCTTTCTTGGGCGTTGATACACGAATGCGTCGTCCATACACACATGCCCCCCGGCTTTTTACCTGATTAAATACAAGACGCAGGATACCAAGAGCAAGGCGAGCGGCGCCATCTTGCCTGCGGACATAGTCACAAGGCCAACCACGTAAAAGCAGCTGGCCATGATGTCGTTTCCGCAGATGGCTGTTGCCTCCCATTGATTCAGTTTCGGAGGCTGCTGTTGGTCCATATCAGCCTCGATCTCCGCAAGCTCCTCGTCCGTCACAGTCATTTGTAAATTGTACCGGCCCCATCCAGGAAAAGTCCACGTCTCAATGTTACTTTTATTGGAGAGGCGATCGCGCCATCCTTTGCTTGGCCCAGTGATCGGGTCTGAAAGCTGATGGCGCATAGGTTGGTGGCGCGTAGTGGGGATGGCGTCACTAGGGTTGGATAGACCCCAGGATTCGATGCTGTCCACGCGAGAAAGCAATGGCTCGGCCTCGGTAGCTGGGGACCGGTCTGTCTCTCCTTGTTTTGTAGGCGATGGCATGGTAATGTTTGCCCAGTTACTGCGTGCACGAGAACGGAGCAGGAGTCACCACAGAGGCACCGTGCCCCGATTTGGAGGAGGAGGGGAGGCACCCGCAGGCGAGCTGCTGTGGAATTCATATCGATGAATGAAGCCTTCAGCGCACGACTCAAAAATTTGCAAAAACAAAGCAGCCTCTTTTTCATTGCCATTCAGACACATGTATGACATGCAGGACCCAACACGACCCGGCGTTACTCTCTTGAGGGCGTGGCAAAATGCTTTCATGGCGGCCTCCGGGAGGCTGGGGCAGCGCCTACGGTAGGGCTTCGCCGGCGATCCGTGCCGTTACTGTTCTGGCCTCTCCATGGGCCTGGCCCTGCCTTCAATACCCATGCAATGCGATCTCTTGAGACGTGATGCGCGGTGGCGACGCGCATGGAAGGAATGGAGGGTGTGAATTAGTCTGGCATGGTTGTTTGCCTTGGTTGAAGATGGATTTGCCTCGTCGACGGCGTGAAGAAGAACACATCCGTTTCTTGAATGTGAAGGCTTCAGCCTTGTACAACTTAAAGTGTCTTACAGTTTTCAACGTACAATTAGGACGACATGGAAAAAAGAAGCATGTCAGGAGTTGGAAAGTCTACAAGAGAAATACATAAGGGAGAAACCGCACCATCGACACAAGATCTCCTTCAGGCCAGCGCGTCAGGCTCGTTGCGAACGGCGAGTACTCTTCGTTCGTTTGGCCACAATTACCTGTCCCACGCGATAAACCAGCAACTCAGCTTACTGGCGGTACCAGATGGCCCCGAAATTCACCTGTATCACTACTGCCCCGACCGGCCTCCTCGACCAATGAGATGCGTTCTACGCCCTCCGCCCACCCCACTAGATAGACGAGGTGAGGGCACTTTCCTCGGAGGCAGCGGCAAGGGAATCGATCGAGACCACATGAATGCCCTCCATGTGAGCTGGTGTCCCGATGCAGCCGTGCCCAGCAATCTGCTTGCCGTCACTTGGCCTTCAACCCTGGTAATTTACCACATAGAGCTGGAGGCGCCGTCATCGGCGTCGTTTGCGACCTCAACAGATGGTGAAGAGGGGCCACGTCTAGAAGAAGCATCAATCTCAGACGAAGTGCAGGCAAAGGTGCTTACACAGGTCAAGCTCGGTCGCAAGCCAATGGGCCTGTTGTGGCACCCGACGGCGGCGCGTCCCCTCTTGTGCCTGTACGACATCACGGAAATCACCCTCCTCCAGCTATCGCGAGGTGAGAGGGAGTTTCCCCCTCCCTCTTCCCCCGCCGCGTCCTCGCTGTCTGCACCTGTGGATCAAGGGCCCTTCTACACGTCCTCCTTTACCCCAGCCCTCCCTGGGGCCTTGGAGGCGGCAGCCTGGAGCTTGCACGGGCGGCACTTGGCCGTGTGCATGGAGGGGGTCCTGCGCGTTTACGATTGGCCGACGAGCTCTGTCCTGGACCTTCCCGGCCTGGACGTTTCTGCTTTCACGTACGTAGACACCCCGCTTCGAAAACGCGTCCGGGCAGTGCGTCCTGCGGGGCCGCACAGCTTTGCTGCCACCAGCGACACGGACCTCAGCCTGATCGATCCCCGGGGGGGCGGGGCGCCGGCGCCGTTTTCCCAGAGTCGAAGCCGTCCCAGCACGCCCCGGGGCAGCCCGTTTCCTCCCTCCAGCCCTGGTCCTAC